TTCACATTCCTGTCAACAGTGTACAAAAGTTCCCTTTTCTCCACATCCTTACCAGAGATCATTTTGGTTCCTAGTAAAGTTCCTTTTTAATCACAGGTTTTCTGTATTGGGATGTAGCAATTGCTACTTCCTTTCCCACCTTTAACCTGCTTCACCTCCAGTAGTGTTTCTCAGCTTGAAGCTAGATGGTAGATGACAAAAATGGTGTAAACATAATTGCTCCTTCAATTCTACCTCCCCTATTATGAAGCAGTGTAAAATTGGATCGTGGAGCTATTCCCTGCTTCCACCTTGTTCTGATCATATATACCCCTTCACTGAAGTCTCTAAAGAAGTTTTGACTAAGTCTTCCAGAACATCAACCTCTAGGGAAATCTTTATGCTTCCTGATGCCTGAGGAGGCTTCATATTCCTCCCTCATATTGGTCCAAATTGTACAGCACTGGGTAGACATTCTACATTGTTTGTGGTTTGGGACTCATGGGTATTTTTTTATTGAATTGATAATGGCGTTTTAAAAATCTATCTTTTGTTATTTTTATTATTTTCTGATTTTCAAGGAACAGATAATGAGGTAAGAATGCTTTTACATTAGATTTTTAGCCAGAATCTACTCTTGGCATTCAACTATATTCTTAATTCCTGATATCAGATAGTTATTATCAGAGTATAGTCACTAGTGAAATCTCCTAAGATTTTTCTGAAAATATTGCTCATTATTATCTTAAACTTATACTTTGTATGGTATTCTCATACAAAATTATATTTCTATGCTCTTATTTTAATATTATTTCTAGTAGAAGATATAGTCTAATACATAACTTAATGGATAGAGTGGAATGGTTTATAGTTTAAGTGATTTTTTGGTTAGCATCTTCACTCATTTATTTCAATGGTTATTTTAAACATTTGCCACGCCTTCAGTACTACCCGTTCCCCTCTTTCACTCTTAAATATAGTTTTGCCTTCTTTTCATAGAGCAAGTAGAAACTGATTTATGGAAACCAACTCAGGCTTCAGCCCTCAATGTACAAACTTGCCTGAATCCTCACTCACCCTTAGCTTCTTGTATTTATATATAGTGACTTTCATTCTTATCCAAGGTTATTTCTGCCTGTTGTGGTCTAGATACCATCAGTTTCACCCTGCTCAGAGTCCTCATTCCATCTATTATTCTTTTTTTCTCCTGTGTTGTAAGTCTTTCTCTCTTCATTGGTTCACAGCTTCACCACTTATTGTGTTACTTTGAGAAATTGCATAACATTCAGTCTGGCTTTAATAATTTCTATATTTGTAAAATGAGGACATCAGGAAAATCTATTTTGCAGAATTGATGTAAAAGGTAGAGATGTATACAGAGTTCTTTGCATAGGGCCTAACACATTCTAAGAGGCAATTATTAATATTATCCTGTGACACACACTGCCACAAATGCCCTAAGTTTTGTCTGCCTTTCAAAGCCAAGCTTCCTGAAAAAGTAGTGTACATTTTGTATTTCTACTGCCTTCACTGCCCATTCACTCCTCACCTGCTTCATTATCTTTCTGCTGAAGCTGCCTTTAATAAAAGTCCTCAGTGACATCCTAATTGTCAAATATTTTCCTTCCTTTTTAATCTTGTTTGACCTCTCAGAGACATTGCACATACTCCTTAAAACTCTTCCTACCCTTGGTTTCCATGATTCTGCTGTCTTCTGGCAATCCTTTTACCTCCTTTTATTTTTCTTTGTAAGCTGATCTTTTGCTTCCCATCATTTCATATTTGGTTCTTCATTCTTTCATCCTGTATACTTACTGTGATGTTATCATCCATACCCATGTCTCTAGTCTCAACCTCACTCCTGAGTTTGAGACTGCACTATCCAATACAGTAGCCATAAGGCTCATGTGATAATTGAGCACTTGAAATATAGCAAGACAGAATTGAGATGTACTGTAAAATACATACTAGGTTTTGGAGACATAGCACGAAAAAAGATTGTAAAAAAAAAGATTGTAAAAGATTTTTTCATAGCATGAAAAAAAGATTGATGTTTTAT